CTTCTCTCTCTATTCAGATGTATTTCATATATAGTTTGTCATTGTATGTCACGATGATGATGTCTCAGTATTGTGTATTATCATAATATCATGTTTCTCTCTCCAGTTCTTCTGGGATAAAAAATTTCGATACTTTCTGTGCTTTGATATTAATTGTTTTTGTTCTTCATTTTCTCTTTGTGTATGGTCTAATTCTTCTTTTGTTTTTTCTTCATCTCATAGTTTTCAATCCCACTTTTTTGATATACAGAGATTTGATTTTCTTTATCTCTTATGTTCTTCTCTAGCAGCTCAGCACTCTTCTCCAGCTCATCAGCCCTCTTCTTCTCCAGCTCATCACCTTTAAGGACTTCGTCCTTCTCCTTCTTCAGCTTCTCATAGCTAGCTCGGAGTGTACGGATGGTTTCATCCTTACCTCCTACTTCTATGATCCTTCTACCATTTGCTTCATTTATTTTTGATTGTAATGAAATATTTTATTATTTTAATTTAGAGTTTTTTTATTTCATTATATGTAGTTTGAATATTGTTTATTTATGTTTGAATCTTTTCTATTTCTTCTTTAAACTCTTTCCTGACTGTTTCTCGTGCTTTTTGAATCATTTCATCTGAAATGGTTCGTTCTTCTTCCATCTTTTTTGTTTGAAGTTCTTTAATAGTTTCTTCTATTTCTTTAATTTTATTTTGAAGTGTGTTGATTTCTTCTTTGTTGCCTTCTTCTTCCTTTTTCTCTTCTTTATCTTGTGTTTTCCTTTTATTTTCTTTTTCATTTATTATTCTTGCATATTTACATCTATCATTCATTTCTTTGTTTCGATTTTTGTTTTTGATTCATTCTTCGATTCTTTTAATATCTTCACTTTTCCAATCTTTTGTTTTCTATTTGAATTCTTCTTTGTTTTTCTCTAGTGTTTTCTTCTTTCTTATTGAATATACTTCTTGGAGAATATTATACCATTTCTTTACCTTCATACTTTTTAAGTATTTCTGAATATTCTCATTTCTCCCATTTTCTTGTTATTCTTTTAATTTTCTTTTGAATTTCTTTTGTTGTTAATAATTTAGATTTCTTATTTGTATAATGTTTATTATCATTATATTTACTTTCTTTCTTATTTGTTTTTATTTCTATTCTTCTTTTTCTATTCACTATTTTCTTGTTATTTCTTTTATCATTATTATTCATTTTATTGTTATTGAAGTTCTTTCTTTTCTTTGAACTTGAATATCTGTTTGTTGTTTGATTTTCTTTACAAGACTCTATTACATTACTCAATAACATGGCAACAAAATTTGTTATATATTCTGAATTGATAAAAGGATCGCAATAAAAAGTAGTTAATTAATGTTAATAATTTCATTTTATATTGTTCAGTGGAGATTAATTAATCCATTTCCTTTAAAAGTGTTTATTCATCATCTATTAGTTCATTCTTTGATTTTAGTTGTTGAATTATGATAATTTCATTTTCTCATTTATTTGATATGGAAATAGAGTATTTTAAATATCCATTATTTAAATATTCATTATTTAATTTCTATTTGATTTTGATGAGTATTAAATTCTTCTTTATTTTCTTATTTTAAGAAGAATATATAATTACTACTGTATTACTTTGGGTTAATATTCTTTTTAGTATCAACCACTAGACCATTTTTTTGATAATCTTATATTATCAAATATATTTGTATCATATTAAGTAATAATATCATCTTTATAAATACCTATTCGTTTATTATCAATGATATCCCATCATTGTACATAATAATCACTGCTATTCTTGAAGTATTGATTATGATGTTTTTCTAACCAAATACAGCATTATAACCAGTCCATAACTGGTAGATTTGAATGGTGATAATATTTTAGGGTTCTGTGTAGTTCTTTGACATACCACATTCAAATCTTAAAGAATATTATATTAATAAAATAAGATATAATCATTCTTATTCTTATTATTTATTATATTTTATTTTATATTTTATTTTATATTGATTTTTATCTTTGATTAACATCACTCATTTCTTCTTTTTGTCAATTTTTCTTTTCTAAACATCATCCATTTCTTATTTTTATTCTTTGTTGTTATTATTTTATATTAGATGATCTTTTTATCATTTTATATTTGTTTATATTGTTTGTTTATATTATTATTATTATTATTTATTGTTGATTATCTTATATCATTTATTTATTATATGTTGTATTGATATTTAACAATATTAATAAGAAATGAATAATAATGAATAAATATAAAATAAGAATAAAATGATATAAGAATATAACATAAATAATAAAATAAGAAATATATAATAAATATAAAGATAAAAGAAGAATAAAATAAATAAATATAAAATAATATAAATAAAATAAAAAATAAATAAAAAAGAATAAAATAAATATTTTATTATATTTTATTTATCTTTTATTCTTATTTCTTTTTATTATTTATTAAATTAACACAATGAATATGATTATTTCAAATGAAATGAAATAAAACCAGAATGAAATATGTCCATTTTTATATTCACCATTTCATTCATTGGCAGATGAAAGAAATGGCTGTTCATATTCATTTATTGATTTTATTTTATATTCTTTTTTATTTTTATATTTCAAATAAATAATAATGAATAAAAATCATTTCATTTCAATTACAATAATTCGTTGTGGTGTGAAATCTTCATTTCCACAAAGTGCATTTGTTATTCCTTTATATTCAAATGAACGTTGTTTACAATATGATTTTGTTTTATCATTTTCTTTATAAACAGTAATATCATCATATCCAAATGCAAACAACCAATCATTTGATTGATTATATAAATAAAATGCATATTGTGGTTCTTTAATATCAAATTTCATCATTCCTTTTATTCTTCCTTTTGATTTTAATGAAAAT